GAGAGAGAGAGAGAGAGAGAGAGAGAGAGAGAGAGAGAGAGAGAGAGAGAGAGAGAGAGAGAGAGTACTTGGATCCATGCGCGCGCGCGCGCGCGCGCGCGAGAGAGAGAGAGAGAGAGAGAGAGAGAGAGAGTACTTGGATCGATTTGTTGGCCATATTCGCCGCGTCGTGATTGCAGGTGTCGGCCATATTCAACCAGGTAGTGTATATCTCCATTTTCTAGCACAAGATTCATCGATTTGAAGATTCTCTCTCTCTCTCTCTCTCTCTCACACACACACACACACACACACACACACACACATAAGATTCATACCCCGGAAGTGAAACATGGCAGGCGGGGGCGTGGCGAAGTGTGCGGGTTAGTGCGCGCGCTGCCGATGAGCGCAGCGGCGGTGGCCTGGCGGGCATGTGGGCCGGTACCTGGAATCTCTCTCTCTCTCTCTCTCTCTCACACACACACACACACACACACACACACACACGAACGATTCATTCCGATTTTGCTCAAAAAGTGGCAGTGTATATTTCCACGTTTCAGAGGAAGATTCCTTCCGTTTTTGCTCATGACTGATGGAATGTGTGTGTGAGTTATCGTCTCTCTCTCTCTCTCTCTGTGCAAGTTTTCGTCTCTCTCTCTCTCTCTCTCTCTCTCTCTCTGTTACACACACACACACACTGTTGCATACTGTAACGTGCAGACCAGAACAATAACCGACCTTTCAATACAAAGTACAAGATAACACAGCGGAAGACTTAGATACTAGTGATCCGAACAATCAATGTTGTAATGCAGCCCTGAACATACATCATCATCATCGTTACAAGGTGTGAATGGGTCTGGCGCTTCACACAGGAAGACAGCGCCAGCCCATACCATACACAGACGAAGAGGAAGGGGATAGACGAAGAGGAGSGGGAAGATGGGAATGTYGTCAACACCAAGTCTTCGGCACAAGCCCAAATAGTCCCTCGTYGGAATGTYTGAATCCCAAATGTCAAGTTTGGATCCAATGTCGTCAAGTCTCAAGTCACAACTCTGTCTCTCTCTGTCGTAGTCTGAGAAGTCAGGTGGCGAGAGGGTGAGAAGAGAAGGTGGACTTAGAAGAGGAAGAAGAAGAACTCTCTCTCTCTCTGTGTCCAGGACTAACCTGTGAAGTTGGCGCCTTGATGCAGGTACCACGAAGATGGAGCTGGAGCGATGGCGCCACAGGTAACTAACACTGGCCTCCGCCAGTCTCTCTCCCACTCCACGATCTACCACCTACCAGCGCCCAGCGCGGAAGACTACAGCTACAGCTACGGCGCCCAGCGCCGAAGACTACATCTAGCGCTACCACTACTGCCTAGCGCTGAAGACTACTGCAGCGCTCCTCCTGAGTGCTGCGGTCGATATCCTGAAGACTACCTCGTGCCTACTGAACTACCTACCCGTGAAGTGCATGGGAACTTCCTATGTACTACGGGTGTGCCTCCTGAGCCTGCCGAAGGGAGGCAGGGGCTGCAGCTGCAGCTCCTGCTCAACT